TTCAAATTGTATTTATCAATTCAACTGCGCTTGTGGAGCGAGTTATATTGGCCGTTGCTCTAGGAACTTGATTTTCCGTGCTCGAGAAAATTTCACAGTATGGCCAGTAAAGGTGTAGTTAAAACTATTAACAGCTCGATATAAGACCATCTGGTGCAAAACCAGCCACAAAGATGGCCAGCATGGAAGAATCCTTCTCTATAATCTAATCTACCGATTGCCTAATAAATTGCCAAAATAATCGAAGCACTGCATGCTCCAAACAGCAGAGGCTATTGCAATTCGCCTCAAACAACCAGCGCTCTGTGTCCAAAAGAAACAAGTCCAGCCCCTACTACTACCCTGGCCCTCAGTAGAGACTATAAACTCATGAATTTGTACTATTACCTTTCCTGATTCTCCTGACATTCAGTTTATTTTATGTTGATGCTGTTCAGCTGTAATCTATCAATATTATTTATTTGATGTTATTTAAACAACATTAATATCGTTCATAAGACTAATTCATTCATTCATTATAATATATATATATATATAGTTGTAGAACCTGATGATGAATTTATCGAAAAGAGTACTCTTTGTTCCATATCCATTCTTTTGAAAATTTTAATGGGCATTTTCAATCAGTTAAAATACAAAAACCTTTATAATAATAGTAACAGAACTTAACAAGAGGGTTAAAAGCCTTCCACAGACACTAACCAATTACATTCAAAGTCATCATGGAGTCAGCATTGAAGATGGTGTCTAGAAAGACAATGAAAGCTTCTTAGCTGAAACATACAGCTCACAGAATTACAAATACACCAAAATCAATTTATATTTCATATTATATGCAATATATCAAAGTAGCGTTGCCCTCGAATACAACATAATCACCACACAGTTCAGACCAGAAGTCTTATTAATAAAAAAGGCTAAGTCACTATGCATGTACGTCGATGGCTCAATAGTAGGATGATCACCAACCACATATGGGGTCTAAGTTCGATCCCTGACAGACTCTCCCTCGTTAACCTCACTTAGTCAGTAATTAGGTCAGAAAAGAAGGACAGTTAGACATCGGGCCAACTGAAAATCCAAAGGTCAAGCTTAAAGCCACCTTATGTTCCAGTCAGAAAGCAAAGAAATGAAAAAAAGAAAGATCAATATGTACGAGGGTTAATCCTCTCCCAACTATTACATAATCCCAATGCAATTTTGCCACTTGTAATAAAGTCTAAATCTCCCCAAAAATATAGAGCAGAAATTCCCATTTAGCTATTGGCTTGTAAGTTAGTGTGATACAATGAGGTTAGTCTGAACACTTTATAGTTAATTGGTTTGTAAACTATTAGATGTACAGTTTATACTGGGATTTTTCTTCTTATTTAATAAGTCTGTCACTAGGAAGTAGTTACATAATTCCAAAAATCAATAATCTTTACCACGGGAAATATAATTAATAATGTGATGATCAATAAAATTGAATCAATAATTATTAACCCCTGGAACTTAACTTTCTTTACCTATTTCAATTCCATTATGTTCTGTTTAATCGAAATGTTTGCGGTTTCATTCAATTAATATTTAATAGAGTGTGTAAAAATTGAACAGTATTCAAACAAGTGAGGATTGGTCATCAAAGCAATTGTTTTAATTTTTAATTAATTTATTACTATCTGTTCTGATAAATCTGAAAGAAGCAACCCCCTGTACCTACCTACCTAACTACCTACCTATCTGGGAAGCATCATTTCAACTACAGGCGGAAGGAACTGATGAGGATATCAAAGCTAGGACCGGGAAAGCAAGGCAAGCTTTCATTTCTCTCAAGTCTGTGTGGAGATCAACAGCACTGCTCAGCATGAAAAATAAGATCCGGATTTTCAACTCCAATGTGAAGTCAGTGCTACTCACTATACGGATCAGAGACTTGGTGCCGTGCCGCGTCATGAAGGTCACTTCGAACAAACTACAGACCCTCATCAACAGCTGTCTTCGCTCAATACTACTCAACATCAGATGGCCGGCCAGAAAAGATAACCAACCCAACAAGAACCAGTTATCTAACAAATATGCAAGAATAAATGGAGGTGGATTGGCTTCTCATACTCTAAGAAAACAAACCACCATCAAGTGACATCACACACCAGGCGGTCGCTCGAGTGGAACCCGAAAGGGAAGCGGCGAGTTGGCCGTCAGTTCGAGGGTGGCATGCAGGAGGATGTCATGTGAAAAGGAGATGAAAGCATGTGGGCAGACGTGGAGCCGGGTGAAAACGTTGGCAGAGAACCGAATGCAATGGAGACGTGCGGTCAAGGCCCTGTGTTCCTCTAGGAATTAAAGGGAACAATAATATAATGGTAATATCCGTTCTGTTGCACTCAGAATAAAGAATAAAATTTGGATTTTGTAAGCACTAATATTAATTCAGTCAGGTCTTCTGTATGAGTCAGAAACTTGGTGTACGCGTCACGAAAAGCATTTCCAACAGCCTGCTCCATATTGAATATCCTCCGACGGCTGGTTAGACAGAATCAGCAACAAGAAAATCTGGTGGGGCGCGAATCAACCGATAACCTATTGCTCAATAAATATGCCATAGGAGATGAAGATATATAGGACACACACTGAGGAGTCCATCGAACGACATCACGCTTCAGGCTATCGCTCGAGCAGACTCGGAATGGAAAACGATGAGTTAGGTATGTGGAGATCGTCTGGGGTGGAGGAGGAGATGAAAGCCTATGGGGAATCATGAAGTCAGTTAATAAGGACCGCAGAATATAGGACAAAATGGAGATATGCCCTATGTCCCACTCGGAGCCCACGGGAATAATATTAAAAATTTTTATTCTCCTTCCCTATTCCTTGTTTCCAGAGTGGCTTGAAGCGGGTGCTTTTTACGCGTTGGGATTACTAACCCCACTATCATCTAGGCGAGGACTAGGGGTGCATCAAATGAACTAAATGCATGCATGCATGCCAAGAATTCCTACCAGTGAACCACTATAATCATGCAACCACCTAATATAAACAAATGATAAAAGAAACGCAAGTTTAATTTTTAGTTATTAATTAAAAACCCTTCCTTCTGACTACTGGCCAATGTTTCAGTGTTATTTAGCAGATTACTACTGTAATGCATCAGCCGACATCGACACACGAGAAATATAAAGCGACTCACTAGTATTTTAATAATTTATCCATAAATAAAATGAAAATTGTAAAATTCACTTTAAAACCTGAAGTTTTTCCTTAAGTTTTACACCACAGCAAAACAAAAGATACATCGTTTTTACATTAGAAAGTAAGTCAGTTGCATAAAAAAAATGAGACCATTAAAGACCTTTGTACCTGGCTGGATTTCTCAAATCACTCAAGAATATTCAGCCATTTCAAGCGTAGATCTCATGATACACTTATATTAAGCTGGAGCATGATTTATCAAAGAGGACGGCCCACCTATCTCTGTTAGCCATAAAGTTATGTCTGATGTATGCCCACAACATAATAATCTGATTGGACAATTTTTGATTGACTGATTTTTTGGGGGGCATCCTCAAGGTCACACAGTCAACCAGCTATCGATTATATATTTATGGTTTAAATTTTGCGTTGATATGAAAACGATGTATGTACCCTGTATTTTATATTATTATAAAGGTTTTTATTGTTGTGATTTTTTCAGTTAAATTTGAATTTCATGTCCATCTCAGTGTGGAGAATATTTTCAGGTGATCAGTTGGTCAGAGTGTCGTGTCTAGAAGCAAATTTTAATCAAGACAGAGGACAATCAATAAAAACACTGACACACCATCACAATAGAGGAAGTAGTTAAAAGCTGTTCTTTTTTGATTTAAAAAAAGTACACATGTATCACGAGGTCAGGACTATTAAATACCATAGTCAGCAGGTCAATGTTCAGTCTTTGAGGTGACAAACAACCAGCCATTCATCTACATATATTTTCCATCTCCAGTTACCGGTTACATAATAAAATCTGGTCAGCATCAAATGTTATAAAAGATCCTGATCGACAGTTGTCACCTTGTTGAGAAATTCTGGCTCGCTGACTGGAACCAATGTTTCTGCGCTTTCTACTATGCCAAAAAGGTAGTTTTGATAATGGTTAGACTAAAAGAAATTACTATAATTATTGTAAACCGATAGCAGGTTTGAATACGAATTTGTCATGCTGTTCAAATAGACATGCGACACCAACATGGTGTTCTCCTCAGATAGCTGGAAAGCCTGAGGCGATACCTAAAACTTCAGTCACAAAAAGGTATACATCCCGAGTGTTACCCTTCGACAGTCAGCAATAAATTCTTCAATAGGGAAACACAACTCTAAAAACCATTTGAAACAAATTGTGCTTAACAGACCGCAAGCAGTTGTCCTCTGGAATTTGCAGTCGCTTGATTTAGCCTACCCCAGAAGTTACGGTTTCATATCTTGGAAGGTGATTAGCAGTGGAATCCAGCCAGGATGAGCATTTCATCTTATCTGAATAGGGCTCATCATCTGAATGCATCTGCATTCCCTAGTAAGTCAGTGATGCTGTTCACACTGAAGGCTCGAACCCAGCACTCATGGTTTCAAAAGCCAAAGCGTTATTTACTAGACGACTTGGGCCACGAAAACCACCTCTTGTGTGACACGTATCACTCATTACTTAATCTGATTTGGATCTTTCTGTTAATGGGTACAACGCGTACTGGATTCGAGCCCAAGTGGGAACACCATTACTGATTCACTGGCTGACGAGTCCCAACCATATAGGATCACTGACTGGATTCCACTGCTAGTCACCACCTTACAACGGGAAAATCAATATTATTTTGAAAGTCTCTATAATGACATATCACAAAGCAAAAATATTGAATAGCTTAAACTGCCTATAATATACATACAGTAAACAACAAAGTGAACCCATATTCAAATTAAACATTGACACATTGAATAAACGCTAGATAACAAACAAACAAACAAACAGAAAAAACAAAACAACTTACCATAACAGTTCCTTGAACTTCTTTATACTTTTTATGTTTAACTGTAGATCTTTTATCATGAACATTCTCTTTGTTTTTATTAAACCAATTTGAAAATGTTGAACAACCATGTGCACGATGTGTATTGATTGAAGAAACACTTGCTGTTGATGGTTGTTGAATTGACGATAGAGATGTTGTGGTTGCAGTCGATGTATGATGTGATTTACGCTTTAAATGGGAAAGAAAGCGTCCAAATTTGCTAGATTTTTTACGTTTGACTACGGTAGTATCATCTGTTTTTGTTATTATTTCAGTTTTATCCATAGTTTTGGCTTTGTTTTGTATGAACTGGAGTTTGATGAATATAATTCCAGAAGAAAGTTTTTAAAAAAAATTAGAGTTGAGTTGAGTAGAGTAGAGTAGAATTATTTTCCCGGTGTAATATCAACTTTTATTTACCGGTGGATATGTTCAATATGTTTTGTGTGTATAGCGCCTTATTGTGTTAAGTGTGAACACAAATAAGAATGCGCCTGTGTGTGTTTGTGTGTGTGTGAGTTATGTGTCAAGGTATACTGTAACGACTCAAATACACACCAACCATATGTCGACAGAACAAAATTACACAAACACGTACACACCTAGATTAATAACCATAATCTTACACACGCCCTACAATCAATTATTTAATAACAATAAGCAAAATTTTAAAAAAACGGAATTATTCTTTTGTTTCGCTTTTTGTAAAATAAAAAGATTTCTTTTCTATAGCACTCATTCAAACAAAAACAGATGATCATGTTCTAAATTGACAGCATGTATTCTTTCTGTTGCACTGTGGAAGTACTTACTACTCACAGTGAACCAATCATTATGCGACCTTCAAAAGCTGTATTTTGATTGGTTCATTTTAAAGGTATCACGTGATATAAAAATCTTATTAGTCTAGCAGAATAAATTAGGCCGTCATGATTAGTCTTTCTTGTGTTTATTCTGATGAATCAGGCATTGATAAATTTGTTATCAAAATAAATTACCTCAGTGTGCTACTAAAAAATAGTCCAATAATTTCACATCAATAATGTGAGATATTTTTGAGCTTTTTGTCTAATTTATCATCACAGAGATTGATTAATTCTACACTCTAACATTAATATTAACTCATAAATAGTTACAATTTAATTTCATGAACCAAAATCAATTAGAGAGACCAATTGTTTCGTTCAGCTTTGGAGCTCTTCAGTAGCGCGCACCCGTGACCTCATCAGCAATCGTACCCGGGACCTTCACGAATCCAGTGATCCCTGAATTTTAATTTTATCAGCTTGTGATTTAGTGCTGTCCGCCAATCAATGCCCTCGACGAGTCTCCAATTCATCCTGAAATGGTGAACCCTAGTGGTCTCAAATTCTTACTACAGCTACAGGATATCGATCCACTAGCTACCAATCTTGAGCTCATTAATGGCTACCGGTGGGAGGGGATGTCTCGAAGCTATGGTGAGAAGTCGTGACTTCTGATGGCTTTTAGCAAACTTTTAAGTTTTTTAACGAAGGTGATGGGTGAGTGGCGGATGAAGTGACGTCATGTGATGAAGGACAGTTGTTACTGGGTCAAAGTTTGTTAGTGTATCACAACTCCCTGGGTTAGGGGTGGTCTGAATTGATAGTTGGAGACATTATTAGATATGGCTGGAAAACAGGCTGCAATTTCCACATTTTATGAAACCAACATGAAGTGATTTGAATTTTGATAAACACATTCTGAAGTATATTACAAACTCCAGGCACATTCAATGGTTAGCTGGATCCCTACAACAGACAACGAGCGCGAATTTAAAAAAATCAGCCACTTTTGAAGGTTAACAGACAGAAGACCAGTAAAAGTTCAGCAAAGAGTCTCTTTTCGGCAGCGAATCCATTTTCATAGCTGTACAATCGCAAATATATATGGTTGTTTTGTATGTGTGTGTACAGTAAATCTGTCAAACGAAAATACAATTAGTAAGTTCAGATTGAAAAACAACTCACCGATGTCCTTAAAAGAATGCAAACCGAAACGTTAATCAGTCTATGATCAGATCCGACCGACAGGATCAATGATACCAAGATACATTAAGCCGTACCAAAGATACATAAAGCCAACCTCCCACTGCGTCCAATTTTGGATATGTCAGGTTCCCCGTACCATTCGATAGCGAAATGGCTAGCTGACATTTTAGAACCTGTGCGAAAACAGCTGTGCCGCTATTTGCTTCGTGACACCTTCCAATTCGTCGATTATATTAAAGATATCAATGTAAAGAACAAAAATATGCTCTCTCTAGACATTGAGTCACTATTTACCAACGTTCCACTCACAGAAACTGTCTGTCACATTTGTAAATATATAGACGAAAATCAGCGGAACATCGGATTAACGACGACTTGCTTAAAAGAACTACTACTGAGATGTACACTCAATGCACAATTCACATTCAACGATGTTATTTACAGACAACAACAATCACAATGGGATCTCCACTGGGCCCATTATTAACAGACTGCTTTATGGCAAGCCTCGAGGATGGCCCGCTCAAATCAACTATTGATAATTTCCAATTGCATGTTAGATATTTGGATGGCATCTTTGTTATCATCTGTGATGACGGTCACGATCTCAATCAGTTACTACAAATATTCAACAAATGCCATTCAGCTACGAAGTTCACTCTTGAAATTGAAAACTAATCTAAAATTCCTTTTCTTGATGTTGAACTTACAAGGAGAGCTGACGGAACTTTAAAAATGTCCATCCATAGAAAACCCACATGGAACGGCCAACTGACAAGCTTCTACAGCTGGGTACTAATCAGTCGAAAAAGAAACTTAATTAGATCTCTTGCTACTCGCATCCGACGCATCTGCAGCTCTGATACCATGGAAGAAGAACTAAACTTCCTGAAAGAAACCTTCATACAAAACGGTTATCCATCAAGATTCGTAAACAAAACATCAAACAGAAAATCCAAAAGCAAGAGACACCATCCGTGCCAAAAAAGATACTTTATATGAACCTCCACTTCAAAGGTGACCTAATCAGTGATGTCCTTAGGAGGAGAATTTCAACTTCTTTAAGAGGAACTTTCTTTGCGGCAACATTGAGAGTGATGTTCTCCAGTCGCCCGCTGATCTGCAGAAGTCCAAAGGACAAGATCCCGCACCTAACCACTTCTGTGTGTATATATCAGTTCACCTGTTGCTGTGGAGCCAAGTACATCGGTCGTTCAACGCGCATCCTGTCAAAAAGGGTCAAAGAACACTATCCAGCCTGGCTGCAGAAAGGAAGTAATGGCTGCATAAGGAGTGCAATAATCGAACACCTCGTCATCACTGGTCATTCCATCTCAACAAACACCTCCTTCAAAGTAATCTACAAAGTGAAGAACAACCTTCCAAAGATTCCGTCTTCTTTGCATCGCAGAAGCCCTAGCCATTCAGTTGGAGAAACCAGTACTGTGCATACAAAAGAAAATTATTCAACCACTTCTACTCTCATGGTAACAACTCTGTTGATTTGACTTAACTTTTGTTTATTTTGCTTATTTTTCTACTTAAAACCCTTGTGTAATTCCGTATATTTTGTTTCCATCTCCACCCTGAGTACAACTCTTTCATCAAGCTATTCATGTTATTACGTAACTCTTCTTTAACAATTGTTTGTGACAACTCATCACTTTTGTTACTACTCTCTTATATCAACATCCAATTCATCTGAACTTTCGTTTGACAAATTTAATGTACACACACATACAAAACAACCATATACATTTGCGATTGTACAGCTATGAAAATGAATTGGCCGGCGAAAAGAGACTCTTCGCTGAACTACTGGTCTTCTGTCTATTAATGTTCGAATGTTAACTTCTGAAGGTGTTATACTTTACGAACTGATGAAATCCAGGGACAGTGGCTGTCACCTAATGATACTTGCTTACCTTTACTTGAAGGCAGAATTTGAATTCGCAAATCCATAGATTCTATTTTAGTGTCAGTTACTAACAGGATCCCGAAAAATCATATTTGGTGAGACCCACATTAACCAAAGACTCTTAACCATACTGGATATTAGCGGGAATACGAAGAAAGGAATACTTACTCAATCTATTTATTCCTACTAATAAACGTTCACTTGGGTTCCGATTGCAGCATAGGACTTCAAAAGCGCATCTCCACTTTGTCCCCCCCCTCTACGGTCCTCTTCAGTTGGCCCACGATTTCCTCCTCCTTGTCACTCAGAGACTCACACCAACTTCATCGTTTCCCACTCATGCCTGAAGATCAGTGTCCCTCAACTGTCTCCTCAGTGGCGTATGTCCTATCCATCTCTATTTTCTCCACCATATATGCTCAGTAATAGGTTCTTGGTTAGTTTGTTCCCTCAGTTCCTTGCTCCTAGTTCTTTCTGACCGTTTTGGTCTTCACTTTGGAGTCAGTGGAGGCAGCTGTTGATAAAAGTCTGCAGTAGACTCACTACTTTTGCAGCCTAAATCCTGACTCATACGAATGAACTGACTGCCTTAACATTGATTTTTAAAATCTGAATTTTTCCTTTATGCTATGAGGTGCATCAGATTTCCAAATTGGTTTCACAGTGATGAAGGTGTACCTTGCATTTCCGATTCTGTCTTTGACTTCTTCATCTGTGCTGTTGCCTTTAGTTGTAACGTGATGCCGCCTAGCCAGATAAGTGAAGCAAGTGATGAACTCTTTCGAATTTCTCCCGTTGAATTTTACTCAATATTACACAAGTTAACTCATATTCATTGGGAAATTCGTATTTTCATTGTACAATTCTGATCCTAAAGTCTCTCTCATCAATAAGCTATTTATGTTGTGATCAAATATCTAGATAACTAAATTATGGACACCAGTCTGTTGTTGGATGGTGTTCAACGAAGTCATAGTGTCAATCCACCTGTGTAATGCCCTTGAACTCGATGATAGATTTCAATAAACATTTAGGAACTGCTTATACAATTCTTACCATTAGTATGTGGTGAGAGCTGTCTGCAAGCCAAAATTGTAGACAACAATTTAAGTCAATGTTTACGTCCCGAATCAATGTCAACAACAAGGATTAACCTTGAGGAACTCAACAACCAATCACAGCAGACTTAACGTGTGCAAATATGATTTGCAGACATATAGCTTAACTTTCTGAGAAACGGTCACAAGCAGTACAGAATAACCTTGAGCAAGAAAACAACCAATCAGCAGAGGTTGCTTCTCTGCTGACAATAATGTACATAAAATTCTATAAATATCTATATAACACAAAATAATCGAGCAAAGAATATTCTTTTCGATAATTTCCTCTTCTGGCTCTACAATTATATGCATGTGTTTATTTACATAGAATATTCTAGATTAGTAGTCAATAAAAATATTGTTTTTTAAATAATATCGATTTATAGAGTAAGATCAATGGAATTACAGTTCATTAAAGATGCTTATATCATAATAATAATAATAAAGATATAGTAGCAAATAGAATATCAACTAAAATTAGGAAAATTCCACAAAAATTCAGGATCATTCAAACCTAGATGGCCAAGGTAAGGATAATGACTGAACTAACTTCTTTTGGATGCATAAATTAGGCTTATTAATATGAATCCCAACAGCCAGCCTCAGTAGTATTTAGTAGCCGAACTCTTAAGGCAAAAGTGAAGTTCGCAGGTAT